CGGAGCGCCCGAGCTGCCCCCCTGGAGGGCAAGGCTCGCGCGGGGTCTCCGGAGCCCATCCCCGCGGGCCAGGCACGGGAGCCCCAGATAGTGCGACCCTGCACCGAGCGAGTCGGCCGGCCCCGGAGGGGGCACGCCCCGGCCAGCGCTCAGGACAGGTGCCGAGGGACCGGGGTGGAGGGTCAGGGCTTACCGGAGCAGTCTGTCTCTAGGTAGGAGGGAGGCTGAATGTGGAGATGGAAGCTGAGATAGGCCGTGTGCTCCCTGGGGGGCTCCTTTCCCTCTTCTCCCCACCACTCCCCCCGCCCTCCGCGGGCTCTGACTCCCGGGACCTGCGAAGGAGCTTCCGGAGCTGATGGAAGCCCTGTCTGCAGCGGCAGTGCACGTGAGGGGAGGGGGTGAGGCCATCCTGCCCACGTGGGGAGGCAAGAGGGGATCTCCGAGGAAAACCCAGTCTGCTTTTCAGTACTGGGGCGGGGGGGAAGGCAGGTGGGCAGCCTGCGTTATTCTCAGAGGGGGCCCGGTTAGGTAGCCGGAGGGGAAACTGAGGCCAAGCAGGGAAGAACTCGGAGACTCGGGTGCAGGTCTCCCACAGCCGCCTACTTGGGTAGCCCGCGTGTGGTCTCCAGGGCCTGGGCTGACCAGGGTCAGAGGCTAGTTCGTGGTCACAGTGCGGCTGATGGCCTGGGCCAAGTTTAGGGAAGTGGGGTGGGTGACAGCCAGCCCTGCTGTCTCCCTGCCTACTGGGCACCCCTTGGCCTTCCAGCCACTCTGCCTGTGGCCATGCCCTGGCAGGTGCACTGACTGGTGTGGAGGGGCACTCCCCATCCCAGAGGGCAGCGAGGGTGAGACCTTTTTGTGATAGCCAGGGGCTTAACTGCCTGGTGGGAGCCAGCAGCCTGCCCCATCTTGGATGCCGTGGGATCCAGGTGGGCAGTCTCACCTTGACCTGTCCCCTCTGGGCACCGGTGGGGACTCGGACCCGGTGGGGCACCAGCCCCTTACAGTCCTTGGTGCTCGTCTTCGGAGTCGAGCTGGTACAGGAGATGGGCACTCTGGACTTCAGCCCAGCTCTCCACCCTCGAATTAGGACAGGACTTTTTCCCTCTCCCTGTCCCCTGAGGCGACTGTGGGCCTTTGGCCAGGTGCACTTGTCTGTGGTTGGGTCCACGTCTTACTTTTCTCTTCCCCAAGGGTCCACGTCTTACTTTTCTGTTCCCCAAGTCCCTTGCAGCTAGCCGCAAGGGACCAGCCCCCTGTGCTCGACCTGTCTCTGTGTAAGAAAGCTGAGCCCCGTGCTGTGTTCAGCTCTGTGCCTCCGGGTGCCTCCTGCAAGCCCAAGGGAGCTCATGGGAGCCCCAGGCCTGGGCCACAGCCCCCTGGTGGACCTGGCGCTCTATAGAGGGGCGAGTGGGGAATGGATCTGTGCCAGGACACAGGTGATGGGAGGCTGGGTGTGGACTCTGCAGGAGAAGTAGGGGTAAGGCCAGGGCTGGGGAGGGGGTGACACATCGAGGTGGGCTGCTGGGGTTGGTGTGTCCAGGACACGCCTGGGTCTGGGGTGCAGAGAGGCGCAGCCAAGTGAGGGCTGGTGTGGAGGCTCTGTGGGATGGCAGGGCAGGGGCCCCTGAGGACAGGCCAGCCTGGGCAGGTGGGCATGAGACTGGAGCCTAAGAGGGCCTTGGGACCACACAGGGACGCGAACGCCCCAGCCATCCCCTCTGTCATAAGCCCACAGCCCCACCCCAAAGGTATTCTTGTACAGAACAAGCTTAGCCCTCTTGCCATCGTCAGTCTCAGTTTTCCCACTTGCCGCCAGCTCTGACATCCCCGTGGAGGACCCCTGGGTAGACGGGTGGGTTGGTGATCTCTGGCTGTGCGTTGCATGCACGTGAGGACCCCCGTGGGTCCAGGGCCCGGCATGTGGGTGGTAGGCTGGAGTACGTGTCCTCACGTCCCTCTAGGAGGGGCGGGTCCTGCACCTGGCATGCTGTCAGGGCAGCAGACGGGTGTGCTCGGGCCGATGTGCCAGTCTGGGTGCTGGTACAGATGCACACACGGCCCTGTCCGAGGGAGCAGGTACATGCACGTGTGCCCAGGCCCGTGTGCCGGGGCCAGGCTTCCCTGCGATCCTGGCTGACTCACGCTCGCACCGGCGGGGTGAAGTCATCGCCGCTTTTAGCTCCCTGAGGTCATTTGCCAGCAGGGCCTCCTGGGGCCTGGGGATCCCGCTGCCCGGTTGCTGGACCGGGCGTGGGGTGCTGCCGGGTTTTCCTGGGCACCCTGGGTCTCCTGGACCACCCTGACTGCAGCGTCAGCCCCTCACCAGAGGCCGGGGTAGGGAAACAGGCAGGGCCACAGCCACAGGAGATGTCCTCCTCCTCCCTCCCCTTCACGGCCCACTGCTTAGCTAGAGTAGGGGGCTCTTCTCTGGGTGGTTAATGTATGCAAATGTATGCAAGCATACTAAGGCACCATAGCCCCGCCCCTGCAGGGTGTCCGGGCAACGTCTTGTTTCTTGTTTCTCCTCCCACCCTGCTGCCAGGGCTGCAGCCCTTCTGCCTGCTCCTGCTCCTGCCCCCGCTGGAGCTCTGACTGGACCCCAGGACCCAGCAGCGGGAGCTCAGGCTGGGTGCACGTTTGCCCCCACAGTCATCAGATACTGATCGGGCAGCCCTGGCCCCAGCTCTGATGGGCTGCCCTGGTGTCTACTCCTGCTCCAGAGCCGTCCTGGCTCCCCAGTGCCCTTGGAGAAGACCTCAGGCTGCTCCGTCTGGCAGCCACCAGTTGTCCCCACTCTGGACCTCAGTCTGTTCTCTCTCCCGGGAAACGGGGCCCCCTCTTGGCTGGGTCTTCAATAGAAAGTGGCCGCCAAGGCCTTGGCCCAGGGGCTGAGATGAAGCTCAGAGGCCTCATTGCCAGATTGCCTTCCCTGGGTTCCCCGCATGGTGGTGAGGTTCTGGGTGAACCCCCCCTACCCCCCCCCACCAGGCTTCAACTTCCCTCTCCCTAAGATCACCTGGTGGCCTCTTTTGCCAGTTACCAGAGCCGGAGGAATGCACCTGTCCTTTCATGTCGGTCCAGGCTCCACATAGACCCACCCCCGGGCACTAGGGGGTCAAGTATCCCTCCGAGACAGGGCCCCAGTCTGGAGAATCTTCTCATCCCGAGAACCCCAGAGGCAGCCTGAGCATGGCCCTGGGCACCTTACCTGGCACACCTCCTAGGTGAATCAGGCAGATGCGGTTGAGTGGCCAGCCCTCCCCGGGCCTCCGTTTGGTGTCCACGAAGGCCTCAGAGGCCCAGGCAAGGGACTCACCCTGCCAGGCCCGGGGGCCCAGACCACAGAGTGGGCCTGTCCTCTCGCTGACCCAGCCCTGGCTGCCTGGGAATGTGCTCCCCCCTCGCCTGCCCACCATGGCTTCGGTTTTAGCCCCTACCATCCTGGCTGGATGCCAATCCCAGGATGCCGGTGTGATGCGGCCCCAGGGCCAGGGACCTCTGTGGTCAGAGGGCGTCTCCGTGAGCCTGTCTCCTACTGGCAAGCCTGTCTAGTTGGTGTGGGGGCCCCCGTCCAGGGCTGTCTGCTGGAATTCCACCGTCGTTGCCCTGTAGGATGGTGCCAAGGGTGGTGGAGGCCTGAGCTCACCGTCTCCGATGTCAGTGGGGGAAGCACCAGCCACCGTCTCGGGATAGGGCCAGGCTGTGCCCACTCGATGCCCCAAGAGCATCCGGGCCGGAAGGAGCAGGGATATTTCGGTGCTCCGAGTGCACAGGGCATTCTGGGAGCAGGGTATTTCTGTCTTGCGAGGGCGTCTGTCTGGTCTTGGTGGCGGCCATCTGGGCATGGCATGGGAGTCGGTGAACAGGCTAAAACTACCTCTGTGGGGCAAGGAGGAGGTTCAGGACACCATGAGGGCACAGGCGGGGTGGCAGGTGATGTCAGGAGGGAGTCCTGCAGGTCCCACCTGTCACCTGAGCCTTATAGCTCAGGGAGAGCCACCAGTGCTGCACCCCTGGGCCCCATGGCTTTATCTGCCAGCCAGGCCCAGGAAGGTCCTAGGATCGGGGTGGGTGACAGCAGGGTCAGCACTTGATGTTTGGAGGCTGAGGACACGCTGCTGTCCTCCCCAGCTCGGGCACAGGCCAGCTGTAGGTGGGGGGCCTTGAAGGCACCTCTGGGTAGAAGGTCCTGCCCGCCGACACCCACCCTCCGCCCCCACCCCAGGAGCAGAGCCCGGGCAGCCAGGCCTCGCTGGCCACGATGCCGGAGGCGCCCGAGGTGCTGGAGGAGACGGTGACGGTGGAGAGGGACCCCGGCACTCCCACCTCCCACGTCTCCATTGTCACCTCCGAAGACGGCACGACCCGGCGCACCGAGACCAAGGTGTGGCTGGGCCTGGGCGTCAGGAGAGCCGACGGTGGCCACGCGTGTCCCGTTTGCCCACCTGGGGGACCCGTGTGGACAATGGAGGCGACCCGGGCCCTGCCAGGAACAGGTCCACGTCTCGGGTGGCCCAAGTCACCTGCCACCTGCCCATCCCCAGGTCACCAAGACGGTCAAGACAGTGACCACACGGACAGTACGCCAGGTGCCCGTGGGCCCGGATGGACTCCCCCTGCTGGACGGCGGCCCCCCGCTGGGCCCCTTTGCGGATGGCCCCCTGGACCGGCATTTCTTGCTGCGAGGCGGTGGCCCGGCGGCGACTCTCTCCCGAGCCTACCTCAGCGGTGGAGGTGGCTTTCCTGACGGCCCCGAGCCCCGGGACACCCCCAGCTACGGCAGCCTCTCCCCCGGAC